GATTGACCGTCACATTATAAACTCCCCCTCGGCTGAAAGGGCGAGCATGTTTGGTGTGACGGGAATTCGAACCCGCGGCTCTTAGATTGCGAGTCGAGCGCCCTCCTCCAGTAAGTATGAAGGCTTATAACCATAAAACTGGGTTTCGATAGTAGTGGTGGGCGAAAAACAGATAAACCATTATGTAGCTTTGTGCTTAACAATAAACAAAAAATACTAATGTAATAAAATTTTCTGGCATGGTTTATCTAAATTCACTGGCGCTAGTTACACTATTTTCCTCATCTACGTGTAATTTAAATTTGAGATGCCTAGAGGTAGTAAGTAGATGAAAAGGAAAGGTTTAGCTGAGAGTCTGTGTACGCTCAATAGACAATATGAGACATATTGTTTTTGTTTTGTTTTTACTTCTTCTTCTAAACAGTTTCAACCAACCCTTTCAATTCCTTCATTTCTAACTTGTTACAGTTGTACAATAGCTCAATACGCTCAGACATTTTTTCGTGTTTTTTTGTTATTTAGGCCTTTTAAAGGATTTTATGAGGTGAAAGATCAAACAATCCAAAAATGTACATTTAAGGCTCCTATGCGGTCGTATTTACAGCAATAAAAAGGAAAATTGGCACAAATATACATTTTCGTGCGCCCAACACAGTGACATACAAAAAAGTTGGATTGATTTACCTATTTTGAGTCTTTTAGAGGGGTCAGAGCTCACAAAAAAGCATGGTTTGAGGGTTCTTGGTCATAGTTTGACCAATTTATATGGGATTTGGTACAAAGATACTTTTTATAGGTTCTAAACATTGATAAATTAAACGTTGAATATTTTTAGTAGTTTTATAGGGGGGTCAAGATGCCATAACAAGCATAATTTTCGGTTTTTTTTTACTATTACATCGTCGTATTTCGACCAATTTACATAGAATTTAGTGCAAATATATATTTTTAAGGTCATATACATACGAGAATGTGGGATATGCCCATTTTTGGTCATTTAGAGGGTCAAAAGTTTAAATAAACCAATAATTGTAGGGGTTTGTTTATCATTGTTTCGACCAATTTACATGGTATTTGGTACAAAGGTAGTTTTTTTTTATAGTCCCAAATAGAGATATAGACAATTTCAATTTTTTTTTGTCTTTTGTTCAATTTTTCAGCGAGGAAAGTACAATTTGGGGTTTTCGTGATCTATTCATGTGTATGTCAACCAACTTAATTGGGATTTGGAATAAAGATAAATTTTTGCAGGTCCCGAGCAGTGATATAGGCAGTTTTCGATTTTTCTATGATTTCCAAAATTTTTCTGGTGTCAAAATTGGCCATGTTGGGATTGCATGGCGGAGACATGTTGCATTCGTCTGCGAATGTTGGCCTCTTTAATCTAACTCAAATTTTGTCCTTCATTTATAAAACACTGACCTGCAATCAACGGTTAAGATCAAGAGTTGTGTATCGTATAACATTTGAGAAGGCATTAATTGTGGAGTACATAATACACCCGTATAACGCTGGAGATAAATTGTAAATAATTTATACTTGGGGTATTTTCGAATAAACAAAAAAGAGCCATGAGTTTTTACCTGTAATATATCAAAGATCACTAGAGGACACACAAGTTGTCACCAATCAGGACAACCCAACTTCAATTATGGTGAAGATGGTTGTTTGTGTGTGCATACAAGAGCTCCTCCAACATGGAAGGCACGCTATTTGGAACACTATGAGCTCTGGATAACTCTGGGGAAGTGAAGAAGTGTGACATGAATTACCAATGAGAACTTGTCACTTTCCATCCAGGAGCAGGAATTGAACATTCATCCAAATGTAAAGATTCCAGGATAACAAACCTACTACGTATCCCTGATAACAAGGGTTTCTCAGGCCAGAGTTGATTAAGACATCACTAGAGGTGTTTTGTATCTGCAGCCACAGGTCTATTTGATTGAAATGAAGCACATTTCTCCTCTGATTTTCAAAGGTACATCCAAGGAAGACATGGATCATATCGTTTAATGCTTCAAACTTGAAACAAGTGTAGTCAAGGATGTGAGGTGAAATGCCTTATGTTGAGTCTTGATAAAACAACATATGACTTGATTTGGTACTTGTATGGGCATTGGGATACAGTTGCAGCTGAGCTGCTGTGATGTTTGGAGCTAGTGAAAACTGAACTGTTATTAAGCCGAGTTCAAGGCTCATAGAAGTACTTTCCCAGAGAACTTGTGTTGTCTGCATAAGAATATATATCCCACCATGGTGTTAGTACGTCATTATTATATTCCCATGGATAATCTCCTGAAGCAAAACGTGGCATAAGTTGAGTGTTAGAGGCATCTAAATTCTCACGGAGTCAATATTTGTGTTAATTAGGTACAAAATGGTAACTTTGGGCAGGTTGTAAAAGAAGAAGAAGCATACAGTGGCTGTACCTAAACCAGGCAGCCCTACCAAGACGTTTACATCATGAAAAGCTCATGATCTGCTGAGGGCTACCAAGCTGTGGATAAATACAGGCACTATGACTCAGCTGCACTAAGTTTCAGTTAGCGAGCACAGCCTTTTAGGACTTCCCATGTTGGTTTTGCTACAGTAAATGCAGCTGATGCCTTTATCTATTCATCACTATGAAAAATAGGATCACAGTGTTTGTTTCGTTTGTGAACTTTTATTGCACAATCAAGTCAACTACATGTATCTTCCACTACAGCAACATAGAACCTACTTAACTACTCAGTAGGTGTAATATGGTTGTAGGAAAGCTATGATCATGAAAATTCTGATCCAGAACACTAATGGAGTGGAGCTTGTAACCGATTTGGAGGGACACGGTATTCAGCTTGTGTTAAAAGAGTTGGTAGTTTATCCAAATCCATCGGGAATTTGAAGTGCTAGGTATATGCCAATAAATATACATGAATAGGAGGTCACGTTTCTGGTTGATGCAGGATTCACCAAAACACTAGTTTACTTTGTGGTGTACCAAATAATATGAGTGAAGCCACTACTCTGGCCAGTTGTTATTGGCATCACTCTAGATGATGGTGATTAACTGGTTTATGAATGACTGTCTTCAACTACATATACGAAATGCCACCCAAAGGATGAAGGTAGTTGTCTCTGATCTTGGTTCAGGTGTGTGGATCTATGGCATGGACCTACTGTGGAAACTGTCAGTTAGTTTTACCCGTGCAATTGGTAAATTTTGTGGTAAAACTATTCAATCCCAGCCTGGAGTCAGGCTCCAGAACAATGGAATGCTAGACTGCATGATGTGGAAAGATTCATAATACCCATGAATGGACAAGTGGTGTTCCATGGTATACTAAATAATAAGCCTAGTATCTTGTCATCGTCTGCTGTAGTGATGAAACTAATACATAGAATATGCTGTTTCTTGTCCAGAAAGTAACCAGAACTTTCTCGAATAGTGTGAATGATGGTATTGTATTAGTGTTGTTCTGTTATTATGGACACACATCTATTCATTTGCCTTCTGAAATGGTCGTCGGTATGATAAGTAAAATAAAATATCTGGAATAAGCTGAAGCTGCTTCTGTCACGCTGTGTCCAAGAACATAATCGCAACATTTAGACGTATTCTTTTTTT